ACTCCCAGAGAAAGCTTGCCAGCTGCCCCTCCCTCCATGAGGCAGTGGCAGGGCGGGGTGCTCTGAGAGTCTAAATTTAATTCCACCAGCTTCTCATCTACATAGATTTTGATCTCAGGACGTGATGAAGAGGAACAATCATTGGCTCAATAACATCCTAACTCCATTTGACCTTGGACAAGGTGTGCATTACTGGGCTGGGAAAGTCCTCAGTCTACGGAAAAGTCTCTCAAGAATGTTGCCTCGCCCTCCATTACCAGGCCCTTAGCCCAGGATGTATCTGTAAATTATGAGCCAAGTGCCCTGACAGTCCATCTTCAAGCTCGGTGTAATTCCTATTGTTCTGTTGGACCTGCTGCCCTGGTTTTATCGCCTTTCTGATCAGCCCAGGGAACCTGATGTCTTGGGAACCTGATGTCTTGATCAACACTCTGTTGCAAGGCGGAGCTGGGAATCGGGGATGCTGGGAGGGTCAGTCCCAGGACCGGCAGGGCTGCTGGGGGCTCTGAGTGCGCAGCGCGGCTTCCACGCCTGTGCCAGGTGCTCAGTTCCGGCGCCTACCCGCCCGCGGAGCAGGCTTTCCACGCGAGGCCGCTTCCGAGTCCAGCCAGCTCCCTCGGCTGCAGCCGCGCCTGGCATTACCGGCACGAGACGGCTCGCTAACTCCCCTCTCACAGATTTATGGACCCCTAAGGTTTTCTCCCGCTCCATGACTTGTTTCAAGGACTTAGCTTTCCTTTCTGGGTCTTCTCACGGTTTCCAGTGAAACCCTATTTCCAGTAAATTTTTGGTGATATTTAAATACCACGTAGCTCCTGGCACATAGTTGGTGTACACAGACGTCAGTGCCACTTTTCTCTTCCATTTTCTCTTTATTTTATAAAGAAGTTTATTCCCAAGCTTTTCCTGAGTGTTATGTCATCTTCTGGGTCCTGTCAAATGCAAGGGCAGAGAATCCCTCCTTTCTAGCATCTACTATAGTCCAGTTTCCCTGCAAGGGCGACAGTACCTACTTTACAGATGAGCAAACAGGCTCAGAGAGGGCAAGCGACCTGCCTAGGGTCACACAGCTAGAAATGTGCCATCAAGAGCGGAGCCCCGTCTGGCTGACTCCATGCCTTAGAGTAAGACACGCTCCGCTCTGCCCTCATGTCACATTCATCGTCGGCGTCTTCCTTTCTGGTCTGTCCTCTGCTCCGGTGCTGCTAGTCAGAGGCTCCGGGGCCCTCCTTTATTGTCTCTCCGGAGAGGCTGCCCCTTGTTCTGCACGTTTCTCTCCTGCAGAAGCCTCAGCCCCTCCTCTGCTGGCTGCCGCTTTCAACATCTCACCCCGCCTCCCCTTGTGCTCTCCTTACTCCTCCCAAGCTTCATGCCCCACTCCCCTGAAATTTCCTTCTCCCAAGTCCCTGGTGGAGTCCCATGGGCCAGGTGACTTGTCATTGCACGTCTTCAATTCCTTTCTTAGTCCCATCCCTCAAAATGCTCTTAAACCACCACACCTGCCCCTGCCCGTGCCCACAGCCTGCCTGTGGCAGCCTTGTCTTAGGGATCAATTCTGGTGCGTGTGTGAGGGTGTGGGTCCCCAGGATTGGAGGTGCTCTGTGCACCACTCATGGGGGTACCCCTCAGGTGCAGGGAACAGGGGGGTGAGAGCATGGGCAAAGAGGAGGTGCTGGGAGGACACTCGAAAACACAGAGGACTGAGTCTTGCTTTCAGAATGTGTACAGAGCAATTGAGGAAACATAAGTCCACCCCCCGCTCACCCACCCTACACACACGGGGAAACGAGGCAACCAACATGCACTTGGGTTGACAGCAACTGGGCTTAGAAAAAGAAGCCAATGGGGCATCCAAGTGGTGTTAATTTAGGAAGACTCCCTGGAAGAGGGGGCCTGTCCACTGCCTGGCGAGGAGGAGGAGCTCTGGGCATTTGCCCTCCAGGCCTGACAGACCAAAACCAAGTTCAGGTCCAAATGCTCAGGAACTGAGCCCTTAGGTGTCTCAGAGCTTGAGCGTGAGTAGGGGTTTGAAGTCTCAAAGGCAACTGGAAAATCTTGCAGAGAAGGGAAGAGTAGAGGTGAACCGGGGGGGCGGAGAGGAGCACAGGCAAAGCAGGGAGAGGGCTGAGTAAGCATGCGAGCGGGCAGGCCAAGGTGCAGGGAAAGCTGTCGTGGTGCAGCTGGGGGCCAGGCCGGGGCAGAGCAGGCCGTGGCGAAGGTGGGCAGGCCGGGGAGCCAGTTAGGCTGTCATCACCAGCTGGGGGGAATCGGGCTCCTATTTAACCTCCATGACCTTAAGTGCCTTTTGAAAGAAAGATAAGCTCATCACTCCTGCCGGGTGGAATGTTGGTGACGTTTAAGCGCCGCGGAGCCGGTGGCACAGAGTCGGTGTTCACAGATGCCAGCTCTCTCTCTCCACGTCCATTTCTTCTTTAGTTTGTAAAGAAGCCAGCAGTAAGGGTGTGTGTTCGCCCCTTTCCCCCACACTTGCTTTCCAGTGTCAGTGCTCACCCCGCCATCCCGGCTCCTCACGGCGCATGGAGGCGACGGAAAGCTGGCGGCAGCGGGAAGAGCACACGGGTTTGGATCAGGAACCGGAAGCCCCAGGAATTGATAGCACGACCCGGACACCTTTCCTGCCCTCTCCGGCCTGCCTCCTGGCACCCGTGCTGGCAGGCCGGCCGGCCCCGTGTGCGGCTGGGATGAGCGGCGGTGGCCTCTGCGCTCAGTGTGGGGCTCAGGGCCCCTGCCTGCTCAGGAGGAGGCTTGTTTTGAAACCAGGACGCTCAGCTGTCGTCCCAGATGTACCTATTTCTAGCTGGGCTAACTAAGCAAGTCATTTAATCTCTCTAAATCTGTTTTCTGCTCTGTGAAGTGGATTGATGGCCTAGTTCTCCGGGCTCGATAGTACTTGTGTATAACCCTGGTGAGGTGCCCGTGCACATGTGACCCGCTGAGACGAGCAGGCCTTCGCCCCTCCGTGGCAGCAGCTCAAGCACCTTCGCAGCTCTGTGAATTGTCTATTGATTGCCTGATCGTCACTGCTTTGATTTGTTTCCATGTGAATTTCTTTGTCTGGACAGTGTGTTGACTGGCAGAGGTGGGAGAATGGACACACACGTGTGTGCACACACATACTCATACCCTAGAAGGACTCAATTGTGCAGGGCGATGTGTCTCATGAGGGAGTGTGCTGAACTAAAAGAATTTTGATTGCCTGTCAGAGGTGATTGGGCAACAGTCGTTACCGCGCCAAGACCATCCCAGTCCTATTGTTCCTAGTCAGGAACAAGATCTGGATTACTCATTCCCTAAAGTGATAGTTGGTTTAGCAGCCCAGGGATGTTAATGTTAGGACAGAGCCCTAGCAACAGTGTGTGGAGATGGGGGACAGCGGGGCAGCAGTGGGGGGGCGGTGAAGGGGCACTTTGTGGGGGAGCTTGTGGGGTAGATGCTGCGGGAGAGGAGGTAGGACGAGGCTCGGCGGAGAGGAGTGGGCTGGAGAGGAGACACTTAGCGTCCTGGTTTGGACTGCGGGCGACAGGACAGAAGGCCTCGATGGCCTCACTTCCCATCCAGGTCCACGATTCATCACGCAGAGCTGTGTGGAGCCAGCCAGGCCTCGTCATGCGTGCTGAGCACTCATACCTGCACTCGGTGCCTCATCGTCCCCTTCTCAGAGGGGACTGAAGAAGCATTTTCTAAGTGCGTGCATGGGCGCAGGCAGCACCCCAGATTCAATTTCTGTGCTGCTGTACCAGACGCTGACTAGGGTCTTACATACTGTAGCTCAGCTTGCCCAGAAAGTCAAGTCTTAAAATCCCAGCTTTGCCACTTGCTATCCATGTATGCCTGGGGAAGTTATTCCTTCTCTGTGTCTCAGTTTCCCCATTTAAAAAAGGGTAGAAGCATAGCGCCTATCTCCAAGTTGTAAAAATTTAGCAGGGGAATACGCTGAAAGCTTGATTCTGGTAGGTGGTCAGTCTCTGATAGAAGTTAGTTGTTATTGTTATTATTGCCATCCACAGACAATTTTAACTTCTCAATCAGCTTTTCCAGGCTCCTGGCTTTGCCTCCCTCACAGATCCACATTCATGCCTCCATAGAATAGCGCGAGGCTTGAACCGTCTGTTAAATCTTACCCCCCCTTTGCTTTACGGAACATATGAAACAACTTCTATCTGCTCATCTCACTGCTGCATCTGTTTATCAACTGCCACTTGCACGCCACCTGTTTGCACCTGTTTTCTGTTGCCAGTGTCTCTATCTCCTGCCCTGGTCTGTCTTTGAGGAAAGGTGTATCTGGAAAACGTAGAAAAGTACATGCCTTTGCCTCCTGGGTCTGCCAGAGCATCCACCCATCCATCCTTTTTGACCAAGGCTTCTCTTTTAATGCAGCTCACTTATAAAACTCACATTGCTACAAATAACTTCCAAATTTTTACTTTTCAAACCCCTGACTATGGCTGGAGATAACTTGGTGAGCTCCGGGGCTTGGAGGGCCGACCTCAGAGATGGGTGAGGGAGTTCCTTCTGAAATTCCAACACGGGAAGCTGCACCTGCCAAGCCCGAGGGGAGAGTGCCTGAGCTTACGAGTGCAAAGCCAGAATGCGAACTTACAGATCTCTAGGATAGGAGGTGATGAAATCCATCAAGAAGCACCAGGTGGCAAATGTGGGGTCCTATTTTCCCAAAGTCACAAGTACTCGAAGAGAGATCTTGCCTGATAAAATGATTACCACACAAACGATCTTGCGTGCACAGCAATTTCAAGAGCCATCCTGGGAGCTAGGTGTGTAGTGTTTATTCGTATTGTTGAGGCTCGTAAAAATCTTGTATGGCTGCAGGCAAGCCAAACCCTTGAGTGGCACCGCATCCCGCTGACAGAGGACCAAGCCCAAAGGCCTCCCTGTATATAAGGGGAGGACTCTGTGCTTGGGGTAGAGGAGTACCAGCTCCTTTCCTTTCTTGACCTTGCTCCTGTTCTCTCTAAGTCAACATGAGCCGGCAGCTCAGCTCTAGGTCTGGGTATCGATGCGGAGGAGGAGGCTTCAGCTCTGGCTCTGCCGGGACGGTTAACCTCCAGCGCAGGACCACTAGCTGCACCATGCGCCGCAGCGGGGGCGGTGGCGGTGGCGGGAGGTTTTCCGGTGGAGCCTGTGGTGGTGGCGGCGGCAGTGGCTTTGGAAGTCGGAGTCTTGTTAACCTTGGCGGCACGAAAAGTATCTCCATGAGTGTGGCCAGAGGAGGTGGACACAGCAGTTTTGGTGGTGGTGGCTTTGGTGGTGGCAGTTTTGGAGGTGGCCTTGGCGGCGGCGGTGGCTTTGGTGGAGGTAGCTTTGGCATTGGCAGTGGTTTTGGAGGAGGTAGTTTTGGGGGTAGTGGAATGGGGGGTGGCTTTGGGCCTGTCTGTCCTCCTGGTGGCATCCAGGAGGTCACCATTAACCAGAGCCTGCTGCAACCCCTCAATGTGGAGATAGATCCTGAGATCCAGAAAGTCAAGTCTCAAGAAAGGGAGCAAATCAAGACACTCAACAACCAGTTTGCCTCCTTTATTGATAAGGTGAGTTCACGCTCTCAGAGTGCCGGGACAGCTGCTCCTGGTCCACCTGAGGCTGCAGGGCAGACCATGTCTGGGTTGGAGCCTCTGCTTTCTGTGTGTGACATGTTGCTTTCTGGAACTGTCGTCTAGGAGTTGCATTACAAGTATGCTTGTGAATGATGCTCATGGCTGAGCTTTCTCTTGGACAAAGGTGGTCTGTGGCCCACATATGCACGGGTCCATTTGACATCACCTTGAAATGTTTTTTGAAAAATTCAGTTCTTGAGTTGAATTGGGACACATACCTATTGAATGGAGACAATAGAAATGGGACTAACTCATCCTTCAAAGTTGCAAGTGAGAAGCCTGGAAAGGTCTCCCAAACCACGAAAAGGGAGCTGAGTGGGGACAGAGTACATCGTGATATCAGGGCAAAAAGTATGTAGCAGGCCAGTGCCAAACATCCTGTGCTGTCGGATGGGGAGCTCTGCTCTCTGAGAATGTTGCATTGGTACCAGATCAGGCTGGACATTTATATACACTTTTATCTTCAAATACCTGTTCTGGAAAAGTATGTAAACTATTTTTTACTTTTTGCTCAATCATCAATAATGTCAATTCAATAAGTCTGGAATTCATTTTTGGATTTTTCCAGCATTTTTTGACTATGTGTATGCTCAGGGATACAAACCAACGTTTATGGTAATTGACCTAAAAAATATTGGGAGACGGATCTCAAGTATCATGGATCTGTCTCCAGGTAAACTGCAATAATTTTATATGTGGTGGCTAGTTGGTGTTCGTGTAGCTACTTCTGTGTACAGTTCCAGCTGAAGGAGGATCACTGTTCTCAGGGGAATTAAAACTTCTCTGAACTAACTGTGAGTTGGTTTTTGTTATGAAGATGATGCTAATTTGCTCATCTTCTTCCTGTTTCTCAGAATGTCATTGTCAGGAAAATAGGAGAGAAAGTTCTTTTTCAAATGAGGTCTTAAGGCTCCATTTCTGCACCAGTGGGTGATGCGGTTTGTGCTCTTAGGTGCGGTTCCTGGAGCAGCAGAATCAGGTGCTGCAAACCAAATGGGAGCTGCTGCAGCAGGTAGACACCTCAACCAAGACCCAGAACTTGGATTCCTACTTTGAGGCCTACATCAGCAATCTCAGGAATACAACAGACCAACTGAAAAGAGAACAGTCGATGATGGATACAGAATTGAAGAACATGCAAGATATGGTAGAAGATTACCGGAGCAAGTAAGCAAAACCGGGCAATTCGTGACTTTTTGTACTAAAATATTTTCAGAAAGTGACAAGCTAAGTCTGTGAACAGTATGTAGTGGTGGTGTTTTTTTCTTGAGTTAGAGGCAAATCAATTTGGCATTTTTAGAAATATTTAACTTCTCAGGAGGTAGACATAGTTTAGTGGTTTCATGTCTCAGAACAAAGGGGCTAATGTATCCTAGGTTAGCAGGAGGAAAGCAGTGATAGGCACTGCTTTAGTCTAGAAGCTGAACTTCAAGCCTCACCTTCTCGCCACCGTCTAATCACTTCTGTCTTCCAACAGGTATGAGGAAGAGATCAACAAGCGAACAAATGCAGAGAATGAATTTGTGACCATCAAGAAGGTGAGCAAATTCGATAGCATGAAATAAGTAGTACGAGAGGGTATCCAGTTACTAAGTGGAAAGAAGGCAGGCTGCAGAGAAGCAGGTAGGGACCTGATGAAATCAAGTTTTCTGCACCTTATCATGACCTGGGCTTGTCCAGGCTCTCTGCTTCAGACTTCTCACGCAGTGAGTGGGAGGCAAGCTCCAGGCAAGTCAGGCAAGGTCCCTTGTGCTCGTGATACTGAAAGTTAGGGCAATTTAGGGATTGTGAGCCTTCTGGGTATAGAGGTGTGGAGTAGGCCTGAACAGCTCTTCTACCTGGAGAACCCCCTCCCACCTGGTGAGAGGGACTTGCCTCACTACAGCTCTGATTTCACGATGGCTATTGTTTCTCCAGGATGTGGACGCTGCTTACATGACCAAGGTGGACCTTCAGAGCAAAGTCGACATCTTACGCCAGGAAATTGATTTCTATACAACATTCTATCAAGCAGTAAGTCCTTTAATTTCAACCAGGTTTACCCAAATAGCCTTTAAGCCCCAACCCACTGCTACCCAGAACAAAGATATATCCCCCACCTCCTGACTCTTTCCTCTGAGTTGTTTGTTGTCTTAACACGTAAGAATCACTGCGCTATGATACCTTGTAGGAGCTGGCTCAGATGCAGACACACATCAGTGAGACCAGCGTCATCCTCTCTATGGACAACAACCGTAGTCTGGACCTGGACAGTATCATCGCTGAGATCAAGAGCCAGTATGAGGAGATCGCCCAGAGGAGCAAGGCCGAGGCCGAGGCCCTGTACCAGACCAAGGTGAAGGAGCTGGGAGTCTCACCAGTGCTTGCCGAATGTTCTTTTCTTGCTGTCCTGGGTTTTCCCTTGTATCTGCCCACCTAATGGACTCGATCCACCATCTTTAGTACGAAGAGCTCCAGATGACTGCTGGTCAACATGGGGACACAGTGAAAACTTCAAAGATGGAGATTTCCGAACTGAATCGGATGATCCAGAGACTTCGATCTGAAATTGACAGTGTCAAGAAGCAGGTATTTGCTTCCTCTTCCCACTGGGCAGCAACATGCAATGGGGGAGGCTCATTGTTAGCTTTGGCTTTTGCAACCCACACCCAAGTTTTGGTGACTATGTTGATGGCCAGAATTCAGCCCTCATGCTGGGTTACCCCTAGGATAACTCATGAAAATGACCCAGTAGATAAATAGCTGTGACGGTCATGAGTGATCTAACTTATGATTTAAGAGATGGTGAGTGAGAGGAGAGGCAGCCAGGGCACCTCAGGGTTGGCATTTAGAAGAACGTCAAGTCTGTCAAGGGTGCAGGGGCCTTGATTCAGGGCTCAGATAGGCTGCTCTGCCGCCTTTAAGGGCTTTTAAGGCAGGTGAGTGCATGAGACCATGTAAGCACCCACGGTTCTACTGGACCCAAGGTACTGGCCTCTCTGGGGTGGAGAAATCAGTTTGAGAAGAGAAGGCCAAGGTGGGATTAGATAATATGAGAGTGTGTAAGGTGCTGGGTTCTCCTTTGTCAGATCTCAGGGGTGCAGCAGTCCATCACCGACGCTGAGCAGCGTGGTGAGAACGCCCTCAAGGATGCCCAGGGCAAGCTGGCTGAGCTGGAGGACGCCCTGCAGAAGGCCAAGGAGGACATGGCCCGGCTGCTGCGGGACTACCAGGAGCTCATGAACACCAAGCTGGCCCTGGACATGGAGATTGCTACCTACAGGAAGCTGCTGGAAGGAGAGGAAATCAGGTGAGAAAGGAACCTGGGCAGTTTTGGCCACTTCTTAAGTGTTCCCTCTCCGGCAAAACTGACTGCTGAGATCAACCAAATGACGATTTGTCCCGGGCGCGGGGACAGGAAAGGTACCAGCTCTTCTATGGAAGCTCCATGCGATGGAGTGATTTCGTCTTTCTCCGGGCTGGCTCAGATATCCTGCCTGAGAGGCGGCCCACATGAGCTGCAAGACTCTTGTCTAATTCAGATGGAGTGCTCTCCCTGCTGGTGCTCATGCTGAGAAAGTGCCAGCGTTTCAGCAGGCCAGAGGGACTGGATTAGGTTTTTGATCAAAAGGGACTGGAGGGTTGCAGATGCGCGAGTCTGCGAGTTGGCGGGGAGGCCTGGGGAGGTGTCTGGTGCTGCAGAGGCATGAAGGACTCACCTTCCTTTCTCCCGCAGGATGTCTGGAGAGTGCGTCCCCAACGTCAGCGTGTGTAAGTACCAGCTGTTTCCCGGGGACAGGTGCAGGCTGGGGGTGGAAAAGCGAGCTGGCCTGGCAGTTAACCGAGCGTTCCCTTGCAGCCGTGAGCACCAGCCACAGCAGCACCAGCGGAAGCGTTAGCCGAGGAGGTGGTGGCGGCAGCTACGGCTCCGGAGGCGGCAGCGGTGGCAGCTATGGCTCCGGAGGACGTGGCAGTGGGGGCTCCAGAGGTGGCTCCGGAGGGGCCGGTGGCAGCTACGGCTCCGGAGGTGGTAGTGGTGGTGTCAGCAGCGGCGGCAGCTACGGCTCCAGAGGCGGCAGTGGGGGCACCAGAGGGGGCTCCGGAGGGGGCGGTGGCATCTCTGGCGGCGCCCGGGGCTCTGGAGGCGACCGGGGCTCTGGTGGTGAGCGGGGTTCTGGCGGCGAGAGTTCTGGGGGCAGCTTCGGCTCCTCCGAAGGCCGGGGCTCCAGCATAGGGGGCCTCTCCGGCTCCGGGGACACCAAGACCACCGGTGGCAGTTCCAGCGTGAAGTTTGTTTCCACCAGCTATTCCCGAGTGACCAGATAGGTGGTGCCCTCTAGGTCAATGCCTCGACCCTTTGTGGAGAAAAGAGCTATGGTTAGTTACACGGATTCATCCTATTTCCCCAGCTCTTCCTTTCTGCTCTGCTTCCCAAAGGAGCTTTTAAATAAGCAGCAAACTCAGCCCCCTGGCTAGGACCCTGCTTTGTGATGTGCCTGAAAAACCTCCATCTTCACCTCTGTACACATGACACATGACATTTCAAAGCACCCCCTTAATTTGGCCAGGGAGGGCTGCTTAGACCCCAGCTTCTTTCCCATGCATAGCTCCTGGGACACCCCCTTTCCTGCAGCAAACTCTGTGCTGCTTTGGTTTTGTACATAAGGTGTAAGCCAATTGTTGTGGCAGGTCTTAAACTCCTGTTTCTTTGTGTTGCTACAATAAACTGCATTTGCAATTCTCTGAGCCTCAATCTTCTTCGTTCATGGCACTCTCTCTGGGGTGGGGCGTGTGGGTGGGATAGCACCCCCATGGCACAGAGGGGAGTAGGGACACACTGGCATGCTGAGTAAGAGGGGGGCTGTTCAGTCAACATTTAACTTTAGACATTTAACCTTTAATGAGAAGTTCTTTCCCAGGGGGTGGAGCTGTCATGGAGAAATGGAGGTACTGGGATGGCAGGTTTGATTCATTGAGGAGACTTTCCTGAAAAGGGCAGTGAGCAGGCAGGATGGGAAGGAGGAGTTTGGCACGGAGACCATGGGAATACATTGCGCAAAAAAGTAATTGATTATGCGGAACAGCCTGTGATGGAGGGGTGTGGGTCACACAGGGTCAGCGGTGACAACAGCCAGAATACTGACTTTGGCCTGGGTGTTCAAGAACCGAGGGAGGTGGTGGAGGGCTGGCTCCACTTACCACTCTTTAGGCCACCCCTATCTAGAGCTCTGCTTCATCTCCGAAGCTCCTATGTGGACATGTATGTCGCCCGTACTTGTGAAGCAGGGCAACGAGATGCACAGTGGTCAGAGCAGGGACATTTGGCGTCGGAGATGCTGGGTTTGGCTCTTATCACCACCTTTTACTAGCCCTGCGGTAATGTGCAAGTTATGGGCTTTTCTGCAGCTCAGTTTTAAGATCTCTATGATGGGAGCAACATTTTCCTCGTGGGCATTATTGTGAGGCTTGGATGGGATGATGAATGAACACAGCTCAGCACATCGCAAGCACTCAAGGACTGTCAGTTTTAATGATAATGGCACCACTGCTGATGACCTCCAGAGAACTCAGCCAATTCTTGCTCTCAGAGACTAATGAATATCACCTTCCCAGTGGTTCCAGGACCATGAAAAAATCAGTTTACTTAGCTTTCAATTAGGAAAAGACTTTCTAGCTCCAGTGTCAACTGTGGGAATCCAGGGTGGGAGGGATGGTGGTGGATTAACGAGAACATCATGTAAGAACCACTTGGTGAGCTCCGCCCACGTCGCTCCCTCTCCAAAGCTCCTTTCTGCCTGGACTGATGTGAGACTCTTGCAAGCATTTTGGTGGACAGAAAGGACAAGGAACTTCGATTCAGAGAACATTGGGAGATTGCATGTGGTATCTAAGGGGCAGGCAAAAGAAAACAATCCCCTGCTCCCTGGCTGTGTGGATTCTTGGATGAATTAATGGAACACTCTGAGCCTCATTTATTTGGTAGGTGAGATGGGGATGAGAATATTTGCTTCGAGACGTCGAAAAGAAAACAATCTATAATTGGACATTGCTTCTGTGAACTGTGACTGTGTTATGCAGAAGAGTTACGTGAAATTAAAAAGGAGGGATGACGAAGCAGGAGAAGGGGGCTGTCTGGCAGTCTTCAAGGTGGGAACTACCTTGACATGGTCACAGTGGCCCCGCTCTGTAAGGTCACAAAGATGATTTTGGTGGTGCACCCAAGTTGAATTTGCTCCGGAAGACTGACAATTACGAACAAACACACAAGCAGTGGGTGTGTAAATCACAACGTATTAGTTTGCGGAGAACCTATATTTTAAGTGACTAAAATACCAATTCCCCATCCTGCTTCTAAGATATCTGTGAAACTGAATTAGTCATAAAAGGCAGCTTGGTGCTTGTGGTTTTAAAACAATGGGAGTTGGGTGGCTTTGAGGGAGACGACATTCTCTCTTGTAAGGGAGAGAAGGGCTCTGGGGCCACCAGATACAGTGTTTGGACGCTGCTGAATGACTGTACTGAGGAGAGAGAGCTGCAGAACTCTGAATGCCTGCTGCCGATGAGAGGACTATCCATATGCTTCTTAGGTTATAACTTAAATTTTCTAATTTCCTTCTTAAGTTATAACTTCCATGAATCGCAGTTCAGTATTGGGAATGGCCCTACTCATCTTGTTGGGATTTAGGTTTTCCTGGCACATTCAGGCATAGAACAGAGACCAATAAAATTTACAGTGAAACTTACCAATGCTTATAAAAGGTCATAGGACTAAATGAAAACCTTGAGTAAGTCAGCATGTAACTAAATTGAGTAAGATCAAGTGCCCAAATACATTAGTATCAGAAAGACAGCAAAGAAAAATCCTGGATTCCCTCCAGCAACACACAGAGTTCCTGCACATACACCATGTGTCAAGGATGCAACCAAACACCAGGGAAGCTGTGAGTGAGACTTGGTTCCTTTTCCCAAAGAGCCCCGAGCCTTGGGTGATGCCCAAGGTGCACATGATGCCCCCACAGTGCACATGACCCATGCAATGAGAGAAACACATACAAGGCGTAGAAACAGTACATTTAAAATTGATCTCTGGCAGGGTTTAGGAGGATAAGTAGGAGTTTTTCAAGCAGATAAAGGAAATCAAGGTAGACAAGTTATCGGAGGCCAATAAAGACACTCCAGGCAGAAGGAGTAACATGGATAAAGACATGGAAGAGTGAAATTTCATGACGTATTTGATTGTCTGAAGGAGCATGGAGTTAGTGAAAAGAAATGAGGTGAAGAGTTGGATTCAGTCAAGAAGGGCCTCATATGCATCCAATGGAGTCTAGACTCTAGTTTGTGGGTCAGAGGGTCTCAGCGAGGGCTTGGAGATCTACTGACTCATTACAACCTACTAAGTTCTGAGCTAATGGAGAGATGGGGGTTGTCTCACTATTAGTGGGATAGGAATCCAGCATGAATACAGTTTGTTTTGTACTTGAGTATCCCTTCAGATACCTGGTTTGTTAATCTGTTCATGGAAATGTCATTTTTTTTAGGTATTTTATGGCTGAAAGAGCTATGGTAATTGAGGAGGAAACTATAAAGGAGTTTGAGAGTGTACAGTGGTAGGAGAGATTGGGGTTTTAGAGGGATCACTTAGGCCAGATTGGAGGGCTCCATATTGGATGGAGGAAGACTCGTTAGGAGAATACTGCCAGGGTACAAGCAAAAGATGACCAAGACTTGTACCTTAGTTCACGAGTTGGTTGAGTGGCCAGAAGTTGGATAAGAATCTGGACTGAGAGGTGGCTGGGAGTCCAGTCATCAGGCCTAAGTGATAGGTTGGATGTGGAGGGAGGCAGGGGCAGTGAAGTGAAGGGATAAGTTGAGGATGGCTCCAAGTTTCTGGCTTGGGTAAAAATATAGCAAGTAGATTAGTGGGGACAAATGATGAGTTTGCTCTTTTGAGGTGACTCTACCCAGGTAATTATTGGAGCTAGAGGTATAAACTGAGTCTTGAAAGAGGAAACCTTCAGATAAGTCAGAAATAGAGGAAGGATCAGAGAAATCTCAGTAGGAAAGTCAGATACACACAGGGGAAACTACCACAAATAGAGAAAACTTAAAGGCTATGAGGCCAGTTATGATTCTTCAGGGACTAACCAGTCACGATATTGTGGTTCCCCAGACCAGTTCCCCAGATGCAGAGATGAACAGTCAAAATCTTAGACTCTGGTATTTCAGCCTTGGGTGTGTCCAAACCAGATCTGATGCTTGGTGTTCATCCAAGTAATAGTATTCAGGAGAGAAGCACAAAGGCACAGCTGTGCAATAAAAACTCTCTTATCCCCTTCCATGAAGTCCCTTTTGTCTGTGGCAGCCATAGTTTCTTGGGTATCCTTCAAGAAGTATCTATGTACAAGCAAGCAAAGAAGCACATGTCTATGTATTTATTCTTTTTTCTCAGATGTCCTGCCACCCCAGTGTTCCAGCCCCAGCAGACTTGACTGTTTCCACTCCACTAAGAGTTGAATTGCACGTTCTTTAGCAGATGAGCTTTCGGGAGGTGGTTTCTGAGCATTGGCTAGAGCCTATGATAAAATTTCAGCCTTTTGTCCTTGCCTAAGTCATCTACTCACACTCCCTCTCCCTGGATCGAGATCCCTGTGTCTCCCTCCTTGTGTCTCATTTGGAAGGGTAGACTCCTTCCCTCTGCTCCCTGGGGGTTCCCCTAAGCCCGTCCTTCCTTGGATGGCCACCGTGTCGCAGCCATCAATTCAGTGGTCAGTCCGCCTCCTCTAGCCCTCTCTCTAATGGAATCCTGAGATTCCTCTAACTCTAGAGAAAAATGGATTTCCCCACCGTCTCTCCTCCCCACTGTCTCTCCTTCCCACGTACTAACTGCCTCTCCCATAATTCCAGTCCCAAGACAACTGCCTAGTGTCCCTGGGAACCCCACCAAACCAGCAAGTCTTCCTGCAGTCCTGGCGTCTCAGTTCCTGGTACAGCTTGGCTCAACTGTGCTGTTCCTTCCTTCCCTTGGGGGAGGGTCTTCCTCAGGGCGCTGCACTAGCCCCTGGGAGAGAATTCCTAAAGATGATCTTGAACCAGCACCTGTGGCTTTGTGCCGCTGAACCAGAGCCTATGCATGGAATTTTAGGAACCCCCACCTCCTGCCAAGGCAGACTTCCTGGGCATGGAGACCTCTGTAGGGCTGTCCGAGGGCCTGGGAGGTCTCGTTCGGCTTTCCTGTTCTGTTAAAAATGTGTGTGGAAGTTTTAACATGGACTTTATGAACGTGATCAAAGTTTCTTTTGAAAAAGGGTATCCTTTCTTTCCGTGAG